CAGGTAATTTTTGATTCAGCCACGTAAACCTTACAATTAATTAAGGCCTCAAAAAGAAACTGAACTTCAATTGCTGTCACTCGAATCTTATCATATTCACCCTATCACTTGATACGTTCTATTCTGCAATTCCATTGCCTGTCAATGGCCCCAAGTTCTCTTGATGGCGCGTTCAATAGATTGATGAGCATGCGACCACGGGCTTTCTTGATCGATAAGTTTGATGCTGCCTACCTCGAAGTAACTATGACACTTCATGCGATTAGAAACCACTTTTATGTCAGCATCGCTATCTTTCAAAACCCTTGTTTTGTCTTTTGAATAATCTAAGCTAAGCTCCAAAATAATCAACTCGAGCATGGAAAAAACTATTTTGTAAGCGTTTTCTGCTCAAGAGTGAGATTAATTTTGAATACTTGGACAGCTGACTCAAGTTTGTTCTGAGGAAGAACAAAGGAGGCAGAAACAAAGTTTTTTGGGCAAGCACTGTATTTAGGGATAGATGCGGTTCCGTCATCTAATTTCTTCTACTCTTCTCACTCGCTCTTGGTCGTGTTCGTGGACATTGTGATCGTGTGGGGAGGGGAATATTTTGCCCTCTTTCGTGCTTTTGTTTGTTTCCTTGACTTCGATAAAGAATGATAGCATGAGACAAACTATAATAATAGTAAAGGATCCTGGTTCTCGTCTTCCTTTACATTAGATTACTCGTGTTGAATAAAGTTTTTGCATATTCCTGTCTCTGAAGGCATGATTATTTCTTTAATCCAATCGCATTTTGCGACTAATTTCTGCGATTGTTAACAGAATCTTTCAAATATTAATAAAACTCCTTAGTTAGCATTAAGTCGTTCTGAGAATTCTTTTCTTATAAAACTTCATCAAGAACACATTATCATTATAAAATTACACAATTCTTGTGCCTGATTACATTGGGAGTCAGTCCGTGAATGTGATGACGCCTCCTGCCTTCTTAAGTTCCTCTCTCTTAAACCTATGGTTGAAAACAGTTAGCTTAGGAGCTATATTGCAATCGCCACACCAAAATATGTCCCAGCGAGGGTTCGCCATATTACTATCTTCATCTACGTCGTCGGTATAATAGTCTTTCTGTGGTTGCGTACATTGACGGAAGTCTTAGTATTTATGTGGATTTAGAATATGAATGAAAAATCATGCCTCTCCCTTTATTGCTAGTGACATTTCCCTTGGTGACCTGCTAAAGGACATGTTGCCGTAGGATAAGGATAAAATCCAGAGGATGCAAATTATTTGCTCA